TGGGATGATTGACTCTCCGGATATTTCCATAGATCTGACCATTTGGCCCCATTTTTAGTGTCTGTAGTCTAAATGGCTCATTTTACCTAGGAATGTCACTTGAATAGCTGGAATCATGTGGTAGGATTGGGACTATACTATAGAGTGATCAGGATTTCTGCCATTTCAAATAATGACAGCACCTCTAAATTAGCTAAGGATGGCCTTTTATTTTCTCCTAACAAAAGCATTAGTTACTAAGAATGTGGAATAAAGGACATTTCAATCCAAGGTTTGTCATACACTTCTAGGGGAAGTATATGGGGTCTGGGAAGTTACTTTAGTTTCATTAAATGTAAAATGGGATAGACCATAAATTTCAGCTCACATTGTTATAAATGTGAATTCTTCAATCATATAAGACATAGGAAATGATACACCATAGAACTTTGGCTAAAATTCTGAAACCATTAAAAAATATATAGAAGGAAATATAGGCAAAACACTACATGACATACACCTCAGCAACATCTTTAAAGACACATCACCCAAAGCAGTGATAGTGAAGGCAAAGAACAGCTGGGACTATATCAAATTAAAGAGCTTCTGCACAGCAAAAGAGACAGTAACCTAAATAAAGAGATACCCCACCGACTGGGAAAATTTTTTTGCACACAACACTAATGATAAAGGACTGATCACAAAAATCTACAAAGAGCTGATGAGACTCAACAAAAACAAAGTAAATCCTTCAAAAAATGGGCAGAAGAGCTAAAAAGGAACTTCTCCAAATTCTGGCTGCTGCTTAGATAATGTCCTTGAGGTGATTATGAACAACTCTTATGCCTTCATTTCCTTATTTATAAAATGAGGGAAATTTATCTATAACATTGAATTTTTGAGAATAAAATGAGGCAATGCATGTAAATATTAGCTACAATGCTGAACATTATACAGGCTACTGGTAAGCACTACATAAATACTAGCTATTGTAAGCCAGACTGCTGATTACAGTTAGAGCCAACTTAATACAAAAGGGTGGAAATCAAGCCTCTTCCCTAGCTTGAGACCTTACCTTTAGCATTACTTTTCTGTTGAGTTGATCATCAATAAGGATCATTACTGAGCCTAACCAGTTTCTTCCAGATTTGAACAAATATACATGAACTAAATTGCTTGCCAAAAAAAAAAAAAAAATTGCCTACTGATACTTTTAGTCCTTATGTCTTTCTTTTTTTCATTTTTGTTATTTAATCTCTCTAAGATCTTTTAGTTAGGAAGTTTCTCAATAAATGTGATAAAAATATTTTACATTTACACAGAGCTTCAGTGTTTACCAAGCATGTCTCTACTTGTGAGGTAAGGGGCCTTTTTTTTTTTTTTTTTTAAACATTCAGGTTTGCAACACAAAACACAACAAACCAAAAACAAACAATTATAAATCAGAGGCAGGGGAGGAGGAGGGAGAGGGATCAGTGGGAGGGAGGGAGGAGCACAGGGGACTGTGATGATGGTGCACGGGACCACTGGTAAAGGAAATTCTGTGGGGACTATACCTGAGGGCAGGGGGAGGAGGGGAGGCAAATATTGTTTGAAAATGAACAATGATGTAACAAAATAAATTTAAAAAAAGATTCGGTTTGTAATGAAAGTCATATTATTATTTGATGGATAAACTCTTGAAAGTTTATATTTATGTGTGTGTTTCTTGAAGTGATGGTAAAAAATTTAAATTATAAGGAAGTATAACCTTCTAAAGACAATTTTGAGCCTGTCTATGAAAATTAATAGAAAGTTTTTTATTGTACTTTTCCAGATTACAAAGTATAGATTGAATAAAATTAACAAAGTCAGAAGGGCAGAAATGAAATTTGGATTCCTGTCTTCAAATTGTGTTCATTATTCTGTAATATTTAGATTTGGCATGGGTACTTGATCTCTGTGGTCTGATAGCATAGGCATAGAGGCAAAGTGTGGGGCCCAAGAAAGTATATAACTATCTCCTAAGTAGGATTGCTCAAGATTCTAAATATGTTTTGTTAAGTTCCTTGAGAAAGAAAACATTAAAAAATAAAGAATTATTGATAGGATGAAAATACAAAACTGATTTATATAACACTTTGCATTTTATAAATCACTTTCTCAACCATTATCACACTTGAATAGATTTCTTAGTTACTTAAGTCACATTATTTAGGCGTCAACATTTCAAAACATTTTAAGGCAGTTAGTATGATTGTCATATAATATGGTGGAAAGAATTGCTCACTTATGCCATTATTAATCCTGGTCACAGAAAGGAGAAAATGGAAATTGCTTGGAATCGGTCTTAGGAGCAATCAAAACTGGAAAAGTCCTCTAGAAAGCCACATAACTCTCTTTAGATGTATTTAATGTTTGAAATGTGGGATGGGCAAGCATAAACTTGCAAGGAGAGGTGAAGAATGTGGAAAGGGTTGGAAGAAGAAAGACGTTTACAGTGATGTATTAGTTGGTTCGCTACTTAACGACAGGTGTTGAGAAGAAAGCATACATACATTGTTCTTTTCCTCTTCTCCACTTTGCAGTTTCTTGCAGCTCATAGGAGCACGGTGCTAAAGATTCTTTGAATCCCAATTCTTAATTTTTTACTGTCACTGTGACTGCCACAGCCCTTGGCCTAGAATATGTCAGTAAGCATTATTGGAAAAGTATTACTTCCTTAATTCAATGACGGAGTCAGTGCTATTCAGTATTTTTTCACACAATCAATAATGAACAGGATCTTAATATACACTGTCTTTCCTCTTGTCTTTTTTCCTTTTCTTTTATTCATTCTCCTTCATTCCTTCATCTCTGTCCACAACTACTCTTTTTCCATATTCTGTCATCTAAATTAAAGTATGATTTAAATATAACTTGTTCATCATTGATATACTCCTTATTCATATACAATGGCTTTAATATTATACATTTATTATTACATTGGATTCTCATTTGAAAACATAAGTTATGGCAGTATTGATAGTTATAACCACTTTATCCTTATTAATAAGTTGTTTTACTTGAGTTGTATGATATATTGAGTAATTTGTTCAAGATCACCAAGCAAGTGATTATTACAGCTAGAAGTATTAGACTAAACATGCCTACTGAGAAAAATCCAGTAAAACAAAAGTTTCTCTTTATTAAGCTAAGAAACAAGAATAAAGAAGCCATCTCTTTATAATCTCTAGGTTGTAAAATAATAACAATTTATTGACAACTGTAGCCAATGGTATAACTGCCCACTAGCTCTGAGAGGTATGAATTGAATTGCGACTGGTGAAAAAGTGACTCTAAGCTAGAGGGTAGCAAGAGTTTTGTAATTTAAGTGAGTATTTAAAAAAGCTATCGGTGATTTTAACACCATTTTTTTGTATAAAATGACTATTTGATATAAGTAATAAAATCCAGTCTATTAAACTTAATAAACATAAGATTAATAATTTCAAATCATTTTAAATGGCAAAAATGACACATGATTATGAAAATATTAACTATTTTAGATTTATAATGAAGTAACAGTATCTTACTCACCCATTTTCACTCTGTAAAGGTAACTGGTTATTAATTGACAAATATATTTCTAGATATTTTCTGCACATGTATTAATGCAATACACATATATGAAAGCATACTAAGCCTACTAAATACAAATTTGATTTTTCACTTTTATTCTGTGTATTTTATATATAAGCTTATATTTATCTTTTATTTTCCCATTTTATAATTTGCTATAATTCATCGAATCAATATCCAATTATTATTGAATATTTAGGCTTCCAAGTTTTATAAAGTTGCAGTGAACATCCTTGTAAAGCAAATTATTTTAATCTTGTGTAACTATCTGAGAGCTACGTTCAGATAAATGAAAGTTCTGTTGTTTTTTTTTAAAGATTTATTTATTTATGCATTCAAGAACTGGAGTATAGACCAGACATGCAGGGGTGAGGGTGGGAGGATTCACCAGACAGAGCAGGGAGCAGAACAGGCAGACTGACTGAAATACACTGCTGAGGGGAGCAATGGGCAAGACAGGAGAGGTCTGCTGTACCATGCAGGTAGCTCTCTGGCCAGCCTGGGATTGAACTCATGCTGCGAAGGCTCTGGATAGCTTCATAGTGTGTGCTTAACCCCTTGTGCCACCAGGGAGGCCCGAAAATTCTTTTAATGATAACTATATTTCAAACTTTCCTGTTGCAATTTACAATGTCATTTTGAAGTTTAATCTGTGAAGATGCAAAGCACCAAGGAATGGTATTAAAAGAAACATCTTTACCATTACTGTCACACCAAACTTGCACCAAGAACAATTTGGTTTCATTGTTTCCAGCAAGTGCAAGTTTCTATGTACCTAACAAAATGATTATTCGCTCTGAGATGCTGACTGAGGCACAGTGTGTTAAACCATGTATATATATATTTTTTTTTATTTTAGATTTTTTTTTAAAGAGGCACGTATTTTATTCATTTATTTATTTGTTTGTTTGTTTGTTTTTTGTTTATAAATGCACTGGGTACAGTCAGAAGCGCGGGAGGGTGAGAGAATTCACCAGAGCCAGAGCAGGGAGCAGAGCAGGCAGAAGGACCGAAGTACACTGCTGAGGGGAGCAGCGGGCGGCAGGAGAGGTCTGTGCGCCATGTGGGACCCTCCTCCGGTGGCCGGGGAGCAGCCGGGGATCGAACTGGCACTGCAGAGGCTGCGGGCAGCTTCACAACCCAGCGCTCAGCCGCTGCGCCACCGGGGAGGCCCCTAAACCATGTATATTTTTATAGTTTCAATATACAGGACTATCCAAGAAGGCAAATGATCACTACATAGGGTAGGCATAGACTTCCTCCTCCTCACTAAGATCCTGGAGTCTTGAATCTTTACTGATTTGTGAACTAGTTGAGAGCCATGGTATCCATTTAGTCTTTTGCACAACCTTCTTAGCTATGAACAGTGTATTTTTTCTTGCAGTTATCCATTGAAATTTTTTTCCTTTTTCCTCTTTCAGAGCTGGGTGGGGACTTTATGGTATTGACAGTATGCCAGATCTCCGCAGGAAAAAAACTTTGCCTATTGTCCGAGATGTGGTAAGTTACTCCTCGTGCAGTTCATTTTGATTACACGTGTTGTCTTTTTCTTTATAAATGTCATATTGCCCTTCTCATTTAGTACCCTAGTCTCTGTATTTCATAGAATAAAATGAGTGAAGCTGAACTCAAGTTTTTTATTTAAAATATTAAAAATATATTTTATATTTTTTAAAAATCTGGATGGAGAGGATAACTCTAAATTTTTGACAGCTTTTGATATTAGATGAATTACAAACGGAGTGAGAATGACCCTGTAATTAAGCAAAAAGAAGTTACACAGCATGCCAAGATAGCTGTTGCCACAGGCTTTTCATGTGTTCAGTGTTGTGAATGGCCACAAGCCTCATTTATAGTCTTGATTTGAATGTCTCCTTAATTCAGTAGACTTTAATATTTTACAAAGCAAACAGAAAATATTAATCAGTTCTCCTTTCTACTAGAATAAGATCAAGTCTAGTCAAATTAATAAGCTATTCAATTATCTAAAGAAAATCGCAGCCCCCAAGTTATTAAAACATTCATTCACCCTGAATTGTTCTTGGCGCAGGTTTGGTTGAATAATACAAACTCTCATATAATGAAATATGCTGGGGACTCACTAGAAATGCAAAGAATTAGTAGTTGTCTGTATAAGATTATAAAAACAGCATTTTTCTTCCATCAGCAAGAAGAAAATGAGTACTATCTATCATCCACAATAAATTCACATTTTCTTGAAGCCATAGTTTTACCATGAAACTATATTTCCTCTGGAGAAACAAAAATGCCCTTAGAACACAAAAGCACACAATTTCTTGATACTATTTTTAATATTGTATTGAAAAACTTTACCTAAAGGCCATTGCTTTCATTTAAAATTAGGAAAGGTAATGCATTGACTAGAAAGATTTTATACTAGAAAACATACCACACATGCACAATTAGCTTATATTCCTGTCACTAGGGTGCAGTCATTGTTTTAAAGGGTTAGGCTTATTTAATATTGTCATACTCTTTTATCACTGTTAGTATGTCTAACTATTTATACTTTGTTTCCTCTCACACCTGGAATCTTCAGGCCATGGTAAGTGATTTTCAATTTATTTAACTGATATTTTCATTTTCTCAAATATACTCTGTATTTTTCATGGCATAAAAGAGGGAAAGATGGGGAAATAAAAAAATCAGTGACAAACACAAGATTGAGTTCTCCAGAAATTTGAGATCTACTTCAATTCTGAAAGACAGACCAAATTATATGTACACTGGGTGCAAATACAGACTAAAGGAAAAAAAAGGACATAAACAGCTTTAAGGATAATAATTGTCAGATATGCACTATAACCTTGGGGAAACCCAGAAGGCTTGTAAACCCTCTGTAGGTTTAGGGTGGAAATGGATGGTAAATGACTTTCTCCTTAGGATTGTGCAGAATTTATCTGTGTGCTTTGTAGCTTGAAAAAGATATGTTTATCGAGAACCTCCCTGGTGGTGCAGGGGGTTAAGTCTCAGTACTACCAAGCAATCACCAGCTACTACAGCATGAGTTTGATCCCCTGCCATGAAGCTAGCCCACATGGTGCAGCAGACCTGTCTCATCACTTCTCACCTCAGCAGTGTATTTTAGTTGATCTGCCTGTTCAGCTCCCCACTCTGTCTCTGGTGATTCCTCTCACCACCACCCCATCCCACCCTACCCCGCGCACCTCTGGCCTACTCCCTAGCTCTTATCTGAACAAATAAAATAAATCTTTAAAAAAAGAACAAGCTGTATTTATGACCAGATGCATTGTTCTACTATGGCTTTCCTTTGTTCCTACAGGACAGAAGATTTAATATCCCCTTCTAGGACTTCAGATTTCCATAGTTAACTAGGACGCTGTTGAGTTTATTATACTGCATATATAATGGTTCTTTTTGCAGTGGGGAAGCTAAGGGAACTTGATTCTTGCTTTAAATTACCTAAGTTACCGTACTGTGTGAAGAAAACAAATCTGGGTATAATGATTCTGACTTGATAAAATAGACACTTGGAAGAAAATATCCTGATCAGTATGGAAGAGTATTCCAGGGAACTGTGAATATATCTGGCACCATCTAGCATCAGCTGTGATTCAGGATCATCACATAGATCAGCCGGCTACCTGCTAGTGGTCACATTTTATGATAGGTGGTCATGAGCACCTTGAGTGAAAATGAAGTTCTTGAAGCCTCTTGCTAGTTTGTAAGTGTTGTTCACGTTGAAATAACTGGCTTCATTTGTCTCATTTGTAAAATTTATGATTGGGTTTGATACTATAAGGGGTCCTTTCAGCCTTAATGCTCTAGAATTCCACATTCTGAATGAACTGACTGGCTACTGTATTCTTGCACTTTCACATTCTGCTCAGTAGTATGTACGTAGCAGTCATTTCATGTACTAATTAATAGCTCATGATTCTATTTGTTTTAGACCTTGGCTGCCCGGAAATCTGGACTCTCCCTGGCAATGGTGATTAGGACATCACTGAACAATGAGGAACTGGTAGGTGTTGAACCACTCAGTAACTACATATTGATCATAAGCCAGGCAAAAAACTGTTCTGGTTGAGCCACTCATTTATAATGTTATTCCAATGTGGCAGGAATAATTGGGAGTCTGGGAAATGTCTGACACTCTACTAAACAAATTTCTGAGGGCCTCAGCATCACTACCATATGATTATTCTCTGCTGCTCAAATATGCATCCACCTTCCCATTCTTAGTAATACTCTCCCACTGTAACATAGCTTACCTGTTACTCTCACCATGGGGCGGCAGGGGGAGAGGGAACCTTAATTTTTACTTAGTTTGGATTTTTTCTTCTTTTTTTTTTAAGATTTATTTACTTATTTATACAAGCACTGGGTACAGTCAGAAGCGCGGGAGGGTGAGAGAATTCACCAGAGCCAGAGCAGGGAGCAGAGCAGGCAGATTGACAAAGTACACTGCTGAGGGGAGCAGCAGGCCCGGCAAGAGAGGTCTGCAAGCCATGTGGGACCCTCGCCGGTGGCTGGGGAGCGAACCAGTGTTGCAGAGGCTGCAGGCAGCTTTGCAGCCCAGCGCTCAACCGCTGCGCCACTGGGGAGGCCTGGGATTTTTTCTTCTTTATGAGGTATTCCTTAACATCATGCTCCCCTTCTGGCTGAATTATAGTTTCCTCATCTGAACTTTTTAGCATTTAATCATCGCTTCCATAGTGCAGTATGGTTGAGAGTAAAGTCTTAGGATGAGTCCAATCTGTGGCATTAGGTTAGCACTATTGTATCTGTAAAGTTATGCACCTTCTCTGAGCCTGAGTTCTATCATCTGAGGTGATAATAAGACAGGATGAAAGGAGAGGATATATGTGTAACACTTCACATAGCATAGGGTAAAATAAACAAAAATAAAGGCTGAATTTTTAATACTTGTTACTGCAATTATTTTGCACAATTTTTTTTCTTTTTTTTTCTTTGCGCTCATATCCTTGCGGGAAGTGCTATAACTTGTTTGTTGATCTTGTTAAATGTTTTCATCCCTTAACAACAAAAGGGCTTTAAGGAAGCACAATGGTCTGTGGTGGTGGGTGCACTATGGGGGCAATACCTGATAGGGGCATCAAATATTATCTCAATTAAAATAAATGAATAAAATAAATAAAACATCTTTTAGAATGACAAAATAGTTTCATGCCTGTTGTTTAGAACACCGTCTGGCATGAGGAAGATACTTTGTAAATTCTTACTGAATGGAAGAACCAATGTGATTAGGACACACAAATAGGCTACAAATATGTAGATCAGGGATTCTTAGGTTTGGCTCATTAGATCACCTGGAGGAGCTTTAAAACATAGATTGCTCAGTGAATCTGATTTATTTAGCTTCTGGTATAGCCTGGGTAGAAGGATTTTTTTGTTTGTTTGTTTGTTTTGTCTTTTTAAATCTCTCAGGTGATTATGAAGTACAGTGGTGTGTCATGGTAAATTCCATCATGCACATACACTTGACAGGGACTTTTGCTCAAGAAAATCCTCTTTTATGGGGACTTATATAAGCTACCTCTCCAAATTTTAAAGACTTTATAGAATTAAAAAAATACTCATAATATTTCTTTGTTTTACAATAAATTTCTGTGCACTTTAGCTCTGAACACCATTATTTGCATTTGTATTCCTCACTTTTCTGTCATTGCTATCTTCCACTCAAAAAGCATGTGTCCATTTGAATATCTAGTTGCTACAGCAGTTTAAAACATTTTCTCTTGTGCCACAGAATTGAAAAATGTGGTTGCTTTCCCAACGTCATATTCTTACTCATACATATTAGATTTATGATGCCATGTTATATTTTGAGTATAATTTGAATATAAGAGAAACATCCGCTAGTGGTGAGAAAAGCCCAGTTCCCTTGCTGAATCTCAACTTATCTGATATTTTGCTACTGAGGAAATAATCAAGCTCAAGGTTTATATTGATTGACCCCTACACTATTTCTTTCTTGTATATAAAATAGGGGATTTAGTTTAAACCAAAAATACTCATTCCATGAAATGCTTGGTGGAAAAGACAAAGAACTGATGGGAATGTGCCTACATTTCCTGAGGGCCTGGAGGGGAGACTTTCTTGTTCAATCAAGTATTGAATGACTGTTTATCAACTTAAAAAGTATTATTTGTTTAAGTTTTACTAAGTACAAGGCTTCTCTCTGTTTTGGGTGGATGAATAGAGACTGCCAGCTCCTGCTGAAACTCATGAAGGCTATTTCCCTGGGGCCCATTTAGCAAAAACTAAATGAAATATGACTTCTGTTCAACAGGCATATTAAATCTCATTCTTGATAAGCTGCCACATTAAGTTGTTACATGGACAATGAACATAAATGTTGAAGTGAAAACTTTGCACTTTTCAGTGCCGAAAGTCTTCCTGGGCTTCATCAGTGTGAAAGCATGAAATATTAGCATTTTCGTGAACAAAAATGGCTTGACTATGTGGAAAATTTCAAATGGTTGCTCTTCTCTTTTAATTAAAAAGATGTATGGTAAAAATCTCTGCTATCTCATTTAGGAAAGGCAAGACTCTAAAGTCTGATGTGAGGTGACAGTGGGTCAGCGAGCCCTGTGCCCATTTACACTCTGTGGCAGTGGGAGAAGCTCTGCCAGGTGCCCCATCCATCCATTACCACTTCCAGCTCACTTCCACCACGAGGAGCTGATAGGTCTGATTGGGGATTTCAGTCAATAAACTCTTAAGGACTAGGTTTCTGTATATAGCTTCTTGCTTAATAACAGAAGAAGGGATAACAACTTAGTCTTCAGGGCCTCCTGGTGGTTTAGGGGTTAAGTCTCAGTGCTATCACACTGTGCTGTCAATTCCTGACCAGGGAGCTGACCCACATGGCACAACAGACCTCTCCTGTCTCACCCCCAGTTCCCCTCAGCAGTGTACTTCATTAGATCCACCTGCTCCCCACACTGTCTCTGGTACATCCTCTCAACCCTGCACCTCTGGCCTGTACCCCAGTTCTTCTATGCATAAATAAATAAATCTTTAAAACAAACAAACAAAAAAAAAACCACTTAGTCTTCAAATGCCCCAGTAGCCTGCATGACCATACTGATCAGCTTTGTGTTTGCTTTCATAGCATGATAGTTTCTCAGGTGTGGTGCCAACAGTGGGGCAACCAAAGGAGATCCATTTGATAGTTTAACAAATTCACTGTCTACTGTGTCAGGCATTGTTTCAGAGTCTGGAAATTAAATGGTCAACAACTCAGCTAAAAATCCCTGCTGCCGTGAGGCTTACCGTATAGCTGAAGGGAAACTGAGATAATGTGTTTTTTATTCACTATTGTAAGCATCTAGTAGGCAAGAGTATTTAAAAGAAGATAGGCTCAGGTGAGGGGAATAGATAACTCAGGTAGCATGAGGAATCGCGTCACCAAACTTAAAGAGATTTTGGAACTGGTTTTTAATTTTTTTTTTTAAGATTTATTTATACAAGCACTGGGTACAGTCAGAAGTGCGGCAGGGTAAGAGAATTCACCAGAGCCAGAGCAGGGAGCAGAGCAGGCAGAAGGACCGAAGTACACTGCTGAGGGGAGCAGCGGGCGGCAGGTGAGGTCTGCGCACCATGCGGGACCCTCCTTGGGTGGCCAGGGAGCAGCCGGGGATCGAACCGGCGCCGCGGAAGCTTCGGGCAGCTTCGCAACCCAGGGCTCAACCGTTGCGCCACCGGGGAGGCCCTGGTTTTTAAATCTTGATGAACATGGCTGGAGTTGGTCTGATGGCATGTTTTAAGCAAGTGTAAATTTTCAGTAAAGGTTGGTTTGTATATGAAAGTGATGAGGGTCCTTTTTTCAGTAGCAGGATTCAGGCCCAGTAAAAAGGGCTAACTAGGTGGGAATAATCAGAAGATCAGACGTTGGCTTTATGAGTAGCATGGCACTGCTAAGTAACATGGAAAGAGGAAGCAGGTCAGAATACCTGTCCAGTACTTAGGGATCAGTCCCAAAGCTGCAGGCTCACTGTACACCCAGGTCCCCTGGAATCCTGCTCAAGAACAGGAATTCTCTCATGACACCTGAACAAGTGTTGAAGTGATAAGGGCCTGAAATGGAACCTCAGTTCCACCTCTAACACCTTTGAGAACTTGTTTGTATCAGTATTCTGCCTCCCTGACACATGTTCACCTCATCCATAAAATAAAAGAAATAAGTTTTTTCTCATAGTTTGTAAGAACAATGTAGAGCATGTATAATAAGGGAACTGAGGCAGTCACTAGAGATTAGGTGTCCAGAGGACACAGAGTCCAGTGTCTCCCTGTAACCTTTGTAGCTGACGGTTAGATTTCAGGGCATTCTCGCTTGGGAATCGCCAGTAGTGACTCCAATATGAAGATTATCTCTTGCATACAAGTTTTGCTATTGGTTCTTCTTCCTACCTTTAAGATGACAGTTTAGCTTGAGAGAAATGTTGTTCCAGCTCCACCATTTACATGAGAACTTGAGCATGTTTCTGAAACTCATTGACCTTGATATTCTTGTATATATGCTAATTATTCAAAATTTTCACATATGTATTTCTAAGTAAATGACCTATCATTGGTTTACTGTGTCCTTTAACAATTTCAACAGTAGCACCATTAAATAATTTGGGAAGTTTTTATTTTCGTTGCTTTTCTGGTATGGTTTGCATAAATAAGTGTTGCTTTACCTGAAATGACTGGTAAAACTTGCCTTTAAAATCATCTTTCAGGTTTATTGAGGGTGATTTTCTGACAGCTAAATCAACTTAATATAATAATAGGATTCACGTTCTTTAATCATTATTCTTGAACTAATTTTGATAATTATAATTTTCTAGAAAGTTGTCTTTTTCCCCTAAATTTTCAAAATTAATACCATCAAAGTTTTCATGTAATATTATGATTTATAAAATGCTGTTTTCATCTTATCTTTTTTTCTCTTGTTTATAAAAGCCATACTATGAGTAATTCTCCAGAGTTTGCTTTATTGATGCCATATTG